CGTGTTCAATATGCACAATACGCATATTTGGAGTGATGAAAATCCTCACGCCATTAGGGAAACTGGGCATCAAAGAAAATTTTCAATAAATGTTTGGGCTGGCATAATAGATCAGTATTTAATCGGGCCTTATGTTCTCCCGAACAGATTAAATAGGCCAGGATATCTCCACTTTTTAGAAGATATTTTGCCAGTACTCCTAGAAGAGATACCGTTACAATTAAGGCAACGGATGTGGTACCTACTAGATGGCGCTCCTCCTCACTTTGATTTAAACGTACGGCAGTTTTTGAACATTAGATTTCCTCAAAAGTGGATAGGCAGAAATGGACCTACAAAGTGGCCTCCGAGATCTCCGGACTTAAATCCATGCGATTTCTTTTTGTGGGGTCACATGAAACAACTGGTTTATAATGAACCTATTAATAGTGTTGAACAATTAACCAATAAAGTTAATGCGGTAGCCGAGGAACTACGACAAAATCCAAGACTAATTTCTAATGTTCAAAGTTCTTTGGAAAGACGATTGCAAGTGTGTGTAAATAATAATGGACGGCATTTTGAACAATTACTGTAATAAACTTTATTTTGAATTAATTGGTTTGGCTACGGCAACAGTGCAATTTCTATGGGTAAGTTCAATTTCGATTTATTTTACTTCTTTAAATATGGAAACTAGTAAGTCGGAAAAGGGGACTCTTCCCCAATATTTAAATTTTAGAATTTGAAGTTAAAATTGGTGCCAATCGTTTTTGGTCATTACATACTATTCCCCATTTTAATATGTACGTGTATTTCAATAACACCCTGTATTTTTTCCGGTTTCTAGGTTATAACTTGGTGAAAAATTATTCCGATTTAAAAAAATAATGTGTCAAAAGTAGCCCAATCGGATTAGGTGAAGAACAGGCTTGAGATTCTGAAAAATTCGAAGCAGCAATTTTCCTTCGGAATTCGTTGGAGGGGGTCTGTGGTAGTCTAAATTCAAAAAGTTGGGATTCCAAAGTTGTCGTTACCTCCGCCAGCTTGATTTAAAGGGTCATTTTTTGTATCTTGAATAACTCATTTATTTTCAAGTTTACACGGAAAATAGTTTTTACAAAAGTTATTTATAATTAAATTTCCTACAATTCTGCTTTTTTTTTGTACGATCGATTTTTTTCGATTTATACCCGAAAAGAGGGGGTGAATTTTTGGTTATAGAATAACTCGTTTATTTTCAATTTTACGAGAAAAATTGTTATAAACAAAGTTGTTTAAAATTAAATTTCCTACAATTCTGTTTTTTTTGTACGCTCGATTTTTTTGTATTTATCCCTGAGAAGAGTGGGGGTAAACTCTTAGAAAAAATCGGAATCATAATTGTACCAAATAACATTTTTGAAAATCAGCAAAAAAAAACAAACAGAAAAAATAATGGTACAACATCAATAATAAACGTGACAATACAATACTTAGGTGCATCCCCACTCTTCTCAGGGATAAATACAAAAAAATCGATCGTACAAAAAAAAACAGAATTGTACGAAATTTAATTTTAAACAACATTGTTTATAACAATTTTTCTCGTAAAATTGAAAATAAACGAGTTATTCTATAACCAAAAATTCACCCCCTCTTTTCGGGTATAAATCGAAAAAAATCGATCGTACAAAAAAAAAAGCAGAATTGTAGGAAATTTAATTTTAAATAACTTTTGTAAAAACTATTTTCCGTGTAAAATTGAAAATAAATGAGTTATTCAAGATACAAAAAATAACCCTTTAAATCAAGATGGCGGAGGTAACGACAACTTTGGAATCCCAACTTTTTGAATTTAGACTACCAGAGACCCCCTCCAACGAATTCCGAAGGAAAATTGCTGCTTCGAATTTTTCAGAACCTAAAATACTAATCCGATTGGGCTAAAGATCTTTACATCCAACTATACATGGTTGTTTCCAAAGAAATTAAATAAATATCGTGAAACGACTATTTTTTCGTATATGTCTAGAACAATTGGTAGTAAATTTTTTGTATCATGTATTGAATATTTTAACAAAGACCTTATCATTTGATTTATTGTTTTTAACCGCCCGATATGCATAGGCGTACTGAATTCCTTTCGGTCAATTTAAATATTTTATTTCGTATGCGTTTGCATATTGGTTTTGCAAAAAATATTAGAAAATAAAACAAAAACTAATGGAAGAAAATAGGCTACGAAGCCATAAGCCTTTAGAATTGAAAATGACGCTCAAATATCTTAGTGCTTATTTAAATTATAAAAAAAATTAATTGACTGAAAAAACAGAGGAGATTTTTATTTATATAAAATTCTACTACAGTCAGGAAATTATCCTTATTAAAAAATTATATTTATATTTTTTAAAAAAATACTTTTTAAAATAAACGTGAAAATAAAAAAAACAGTGTCGCCATCTACATAACTAACTGCGAGACACTCCCTCTTAAGTCTAGTGACTGAATTGTGCAGTATTCTTTTTATAATGCTGTGGTAATCATATGTTAATGCAACACAGAGCTTAAAAATATATACAGAGTGTTTATTAAGTACTTGTACAAACTTTAAATGGTGAATCTTTGACTTATTTTAAGGCAAAACGTTCATATGAATACATGTCCTAAACCTCTTAACTTTTGAGCTACAGGATGGTGAAGTTTTCAGAAAAATAACTGTAAGAATATTGCAGATATTTTTTCGAAATTTGGTACACGTCTCCTACGCATTATGATGCATTTTTTAATGTACAAATAATTTTATTATTTCTACCAGTGGCGCCCGTACGGGTTTCGTATTAAATATTTTTGCCGAAAAAAATAGTACGCCACTGCTTCATCTTAAAATAACAAATATTTTTGCAATCCTCATTTAGTTTTGAGCAAATTTGGTCTGATGAGTTTTTTCTCCGACGCATAAGTAGTTTTCGTCCGACGCATGGTATTCTGCATGGAACAAGTGAAAAATGTGTCTTTTATTGATCAATATTGTTATGTGATAAACTTAGATTATTTACAGACTAAGACTAAACTACTTTTACATATAAGTTAATAACATTTACAACTTGCTAAAAATGCCCGCCGCCTACTGCAACGCATGCGTCAATTCGCCTTAACATTGATTGACGTACTCTTTCGAATATACCTGTTTCTTAGATCTTGCTCATTTAGAACGGATGTTTTGTAAACAAGTGTCTTTAAGTGACCCCACAGAAAAAAATCCAGAGGATTTAAATCTGGTGATCTGGGAGGCCAGGCTTGCGGTCCCGCTCTTCCTATCCAACGATTAGGATAATTCTCGTTCAGAAATTGACGTGCAGTCAAACAAAAGTGTGCCGGTGCGCCATCGTGCATGAACCACATCCTGTTTCTGGTAGCCAAATCAATTTCTTCTAAATTTTCAGGAAGCTCGTGCTCCAAAAATCTTCTGTACTCTTCGCCATTTAGCCTTTGTGGAAGAATGCAAGGTTCAATAAGGTGATCCCCGATAATTCCGACCCAAATATTTAGAGAGAAACGATCTTGGAAATGATTTTCTATGATAGCATTGGGATTATCCTCAGACCAGATATGGTTGTTGTGGAAGTTCATGATGGCGTTTCGAGAAAAAGAAGCTTCGTCTGTAACAAGTACATGGCCTAAGAAATCCGGAGTTGTTAATTATTTATTTCGCAGCCAAACGCAGAAATCTACTCTGAGAGGAAAATCTCTAGGTAGTAATGCCTGTACACGTTGAATATGATAAGGATAAAGTTGTTGAGATTTTAAAATTTGCCACACAATTGTATGCGTAATATTAAATTCATGAGAAATTTTCCTTGTACTAGTTTGCTGGTCTTCTTCAATTCTATTTAACACAGCTTCTTCAATTTCAACTGTTCGAACTGTCGCAGGCCCTCCTGGGATATCAATTGTTCTTTTACAGCTGCCAGTTTCACAAAGTCTTGCGTGAATATTAATGAAAGTTTGGACTTATGGAATCACCCGTTGAGGAAATTGGGCTTGATACATCTTTTTGCAGCTTGTGCATTACCGTGAGCCATTCCGTAGACGAAATGAATGTCTGCCATTTCTGCATTGGTATATACGTACATTTTGAACACAATAATAGACAATAAAGTATTACATACATATATGCATTTTTAAATGACAAAAACCATGATCTTTTTTTTAAATAAACTGTCATGACTGATTCCGCTATCATGGAAACCTCTCGGTTGTTTGTATTGTATGTACAATTGGACATTTTAGCAATTTGACTCTGAAATAACACGGATTTTATTTTTTAAAGCGTAAACTATGCATCGAACGAAAAAACTCAAGAGATTAAATTTGTTTAAAAATAAATGAGGATTTTAAAAATAATTTTTGTTTTAAGATGAAGCAGTGGCATACTATTTTTTTCTGCAAAAATATTCAATACAAACCCCGTAGGTATGGACGCCACTGGTAGAAAACATAAATTTGTACATCAAAAAATGCATCTTTATGCATAGTATACGTGTACCAAATTTCGTAAAGATATCTACAATAGTCTCACAGTTATTGGAAAAAATAGATTTTTTTCTGAAAACTTTACCACCCTGTAGCACAAAAGTTAAGAGGTTTAGGACACTTGTTCATATGAACTTTTTGCCTTAAAATTAGTCAAAGATTCACTATTTAAAGTTTGTACAAGTACTTAATAAACACCCTGTATATTGAAATTAGTCGTTAATAATAAGTGAACTCAATTAAGCTGCAATTAAAACTAATTTAAAATAAACAGAAATGTTCACGTGAGAAAGATTATTATGCTGCTCAAAAATATAATATTTTAAATCCCTTCAAAGTTTTGAAGGGTAAAAATATTAAAAATTAATAAACATAGTTATTAATCTAACATTTTCTGTTCTAGACAATATTTAATACATTTTTAATATTAAAAATTAATAAACACAGTTAATAATCTAACATTTTCTGTTCTAGACAATATTTAATACATTTTTAATTTTTTCTAGGAACTCATTAATGCTCAGAAGGGTAATTTGGTTTACAGCGGACTATCAGCCAATCTAGTTTTATCTCTATTAACCAGTGGTGCTAAAGGAGATACAAAAAATGAACTACTTCTGGGATTAAACTTAGTCCAAAATGACGAAGAACGCAACAACGGTTACAAACAACTATCTTCTAGCTTAAATGTTAACTCCAAAGACTTAAAAGTACTCTCAGCCAATAAGATATATCCCGCTAAAGGTTTTCCTATAGAAGAATCATTCAAGAATACTGCTGTCAACGATTACCAATCTGAAGTTGAAAATCTAGACTACCAAAATAAAGAACAAGCTGCAGGTACCATCAATAAATGGGTAGAACAAAAAACGAATAATAAAATACAAAATTTGATAAACCCAGATAAACTTAAACCCGAAACTAAATTGGTTTTGGCAAATACGTTGTATTTTAGTGGGAAATGGGCGCGACCATTTGATTTCACCAGGAAGGGAATGTTCCACGTAACAGAATCGCAATCAAAAGAGGTAAGTTATTTAGAAATAATTTTAACCTAAAAAAATCCATCACCAATAGCTATTCTCGAGAAGAAAATCGTTTCCTTACGATACCAGTATTTTAAATAGACTATTAAGAGACAACAGCTTCCGTAGAGGCAGTTAGTTTAGTTTTTTATTTTCCTAATACCCTGCTATAGTAATTATCCTCCTTTTTAGGGTGGTTGGCCTTGATTACAGTAAGTAACCTAGCTATGTTTCCTAACTGTTGACATGTAAACGCGTGGGACCTGTGTGGTAGGTTGTATTCCCGAAACAATATCCAAATATCCTATTTCCAACCTCATACATGGACAAGTCCATAGTATAAGATGGGAAATATGATTTAGGGAAACCACAAAAACCCAAATCATGATACTGTACAAAATATTATGATATCCAATATAATTGTGAAGAGGTTTTTCTAATGCATAGTGGGGCTAAGTCAAAGAGCGATGAGCGTCTGAAAGTAATCTTAGATTTGTTTGTGGCAGTTTTTTTTTTTTTTCAGTTTTTAAAATAGTGGGAGGCAGCGTGAGCGCCAGGAGGGTCTGTAAAGTGTCTTGGGAGTCTCTGTTAGTATTTTTCAATTTGCGAGAGACGTATAATTTCCTGAGTATTTAAAAACGTGTGAGAATAGGGGTGCTGGAGATATATTCGAATATTTTTCCACTGAGAGAGCGATTGGGGAGGTATTGGCATCGTCAATGTATGTAGTGAATTTGTGGGCAACATCTGTAGATAGTACGCCGTAGGGTATCGCTCTGTACTCGGCAACTGGGCAGATAAAAGAGTTGTATATGTGAATTAAGGGGTTTAAACTGCATCGCCTTATTCGTCCACACAAAGTCCCAAGGAGACTGGCTCGCTTTGGTGTCTTATCGAGAGAGCTTTAAACATCAGAGAACTAGTTGAGTGTAAAAGAGAATCATGCTCCCAAATAGTCAACTTCCGTCTGTTGAGCAAGTCTTACTTCCAAGAGATTTACATTGACGTGTTGAGGGATCTAAGAGGTTGTTTGACAGTTAGGATGTTTAAAAATGATAAATTGTGGTTTTTTTTGTGGATTAAGGAGACCCTCTTTCTGCTACACCAGCGAGAATACTAGTTTAACAAATTTTGGATTCGAGTAGTTGGTCAGAATTTTTGTCTACAGAGAGCAGAGCAATATCCTCGGCATAGATAATGCATTTTGAGTGAGTGAGGTAAGAATAAATGAGTTTGAAGATACTGGGAGAAAGAGCCCATGCTAAAGTTATAGTGGATTTTATTTGTTGCACTAGGTGTAAGTTTTCTGCACTAATCGCATTTGATTTATTCAGTGTAGCTTTAAATATTTGACACATACTTGAGTGCAGCATATTAGGCATTCCAAACTGAATGGCTACCAGTGGGTTTTGACGGGTTATGATATGGCAAAATTATGGCAACCCTGTAGGCCTGGTGATTTGGCAAGGTCAATGAAATAGATAGTTACATAGATTGATTATCCATATTTTTCAAAATAAACATAAGCGTATGCCTTGAAGTAAAAATGTAAGCAATTTTTTTTTTAAATATCTAAAGGCTAAAAATTGGTTTTAAAACACATTTTTGCTAAACCGATTCAAATTAATAAATATTTGCCAGGCAATATGGCTGCTCGCAAACGACCAGCTTTGAGCAATGTATATAACATATATGTATCATTGACCCTGTTAACGACAACATGACAACAGAGTTGCCATATCTAAACTGTCAGTACCCACTGGTAGCCATTTGGACAGGTCGTTGGAATGCCTAATACTTTTGCCAAGTATGACAGTTCGAATACGTCGAATTTGCCAACCTGTCGATCGCGAGCTACCGGTAGCTCGCGGAGGCAATTCTGGTAGCTCTCACAACGATTTAATTTAAAAAATACAAACTACAAAAATCAGAAAAGCTTCCGAAAATTCCACAAAAAAATCTAATTGTCATAATATTAAACATAAACAGCGGCAACGTTGTTAGAACCGACCAGCCGGACCAGCGCGTTAGTGTTCGAGAACGATCAGGATTGCTTTGAACGGGATAAATACGCACAGCGCGGCGACATTGCGCTTAGTTTAAAACTGAACGCGTAACCAACGTCCAGCGGTTGGGTTAGTAGAGAACAACAAAAAACAATATTATGGCAAGCAGTTGTAAGAAGGTAAAGACATACCACTTTCATTCGGAATGGGAAGAACAATACTTTTTTACAAAATTTAAATATAAAAATATGTGTTTGTTATGTAATACATCGGTCTCCGTTGCTAAAAAAGGAACTATTGAGAGACATCATAAAACTGTACATTCTAATTTTGAAAAAACGTTCCCACTATATTCTGCCGCCAGAAAGGAGGAACTGAAACAGTTAAAAAAGCAGTTAATTGGATTTTAAGAATAGTCGACAAAAATAGGGCTGCAACTGAAGCATCGTACCGTGTGTCCTAGATAATTGCACAAAAAAAGAAACCTCATGAAGACGGGGAAATGAAAAAACAGGCGTTTTTAGAAGCTGCTGATTCGTTATTTGCCAACTTTAGAAATAAAGACGAGATAGTTTCAGCTATAAAATCTATGCAACTTTCTGCTAATACAGTGATGAGACGTGTAGAAGTAATGAGCAATGATACTTTTTTACAGTAAAAAACTGACTTAGATAACTGTGTTTATTTTTCACTTCAACTGGATGAATCAACAGATGTCGTTGACACTGCCCAGATGGCCGTGTTCGTCAGGATGGTTTTTAGTGATTTTACGATTAAAGAAGATCTTTTGAAGTTTATTCCACTGAAAGGACACACTACTGGACAGGAGTTGTTTTCTCATTTGAAAAATATTATTTCTTCCGAGAAAATTCCAATATCAAAAATGGTAGGCTTGACAACCGATGGCGCTCCAGTTATGGTGGGTTGTGATAAGGGTCTGGTGGCGTTATGTCGTAATAATGAAACTTTTCCGCAATTTCTCTGTTACCACTGCATTATCCATCAGCAAGCATTATGTGGAAATTTCCTGAAACTAAACAACATTATGAAACTGGTGGTAAAAATTGTGAACAAGATTAGAGCTCAAGCGTTACAAAGAAGATTATTCAAAACCTTGGCCGATGAAGTTGACTGTCAATACGGGGACCTACTCCTTCACTCTGAAGTCCGATGGTTAAATAGAGGACGGGTGCTGAAACGTTTTAATGATGTCCTATCTGGCATAGTTCAATTTTTCAAACAACGCGATGAACCGACTCCGGAACTAGAAAATTAAATCTGCCTTAGAGATTTTGGTTTTCTCGTGGACATTACAGAGAAATTAAACAAACTTAATTTGCAGCTTCAGGGGAGAGACAAAGAACTAGCGGAAATGATTTCTGATATAAAAGCATTTATCAAAAAGCTGGAGTTTTGGCAACAAAACCTAATTAACAGCGATGCCAAGCATTTTCCTATTCTTTCAGAAAAAATATCTCAAAATCCCTATGACAGCAAATATCATTTAGAAATAGTTTCTACCCTGAAGAATAACTTCAAAAATCGTTTTAAGGATTTCAACGAAATGGCGTTAGTAGCGCAGTTTGTTGTTTCACCCTTTATGGAAATTGATATCCAACAGTTTGCAACTTGTATTATGCAGAACTTTGGCGAAGACATTGCTGCAACAGAAATGGAAGTAATTAAGTTTCAAAATGATTTCGCCTTAAAATCGTTAGTCTCAAGTACCAAATGTATCTGGCCTATTGTAAGTAAAGACAAATATTCAGTTCTATGCCGTGTTGCCTTGAAAGTGAAAGCATTATTCAGTTCAACCTATTTGTGTGAATCTTCTTTTTCCAATATGAAGTTTATTAAGAACAAATATCGCAATCGACTTACAGATGAACATTTGGATAATTGTATTCGAATGGCTGTATCAAATTATACTGCAAACATTAAAAAAATTATCGATGAGTCTGATTGAACGTGCTTTTTTATTTTTCAATGTTTATGTTCATGATAGTGCGTTGCTTTTTTGTTGTTATTATTAACTATTTTTAAATCTTACGTGACATGCCGTTGTGGATGGATAAAAGTTTGTGTTTATTTTTCAAACACCTTCGTTTGATAGGTAGGAATGTAGCTATGAACAAGTACGTACTAGTAATATTAGTTATTTTGTTATTAGTTTATTATTAGTACCTATGTATTATGTATTACCAGTTAAATAGTAAAATTAATACATATAATGATTAATTAACTGTGGATTATTTCATTTACGTTGCGTTACGTGGCTTCCGTGTGGGTAGCTCACTGTTCTAGAAGAACGGCTGATGAGCATTGTTGGGAGTTTACTGCTGTGACCGCAGTAGTGTGAAGATAGAAGATTGCGTCCTGTGTGCAGTGATGAAGTCTGAAACCATCTTGGGCTTGAGGGATTATGTTTCGTTCTTTACAAAAGTCCCAGATTCTTTTCTTGAGCAGACGTTCATGGAGTTTACTTAGTACTGATATGAGAGATATAGGATAGTACGAATTTAAAGATTTAGGATCCCTACCTGATTTGGGAATTAAAATGATGTTAGCGGATTTATAGGTAGGTGGAAAATAGGAGCAGGAGAGACAGGCATTTAGGAGTAGGGTGAGGATGGGAAAGATGGTTTCAGAAAGATGTTTTAACGCTTTTCTATGTATGGAATGGGGCAAAAAGGTTGGATGTATTGGAGGGTAAATGGGACTGGGAGGGGTTTTTTGACATTCAAAGATGGAACTGAAACGAAAAGTGTTTCAAGGACATTGTGTTCGATCTCGTGTCAGAACTGGTCATCAAAGTAGGGGTTGTTATGGGCCTTGAAGGTGTATTTTATGAGCTAGGTCTTTTTTGTCTGAGGTTATGTGGGTTACTCAATCAATTTCCATTTGGGAGTGAGTTTTGTATTTTTCACCAGTGATAAATCGGAATTTGTCCCAAAATATGGAACCATTTTTCTGATCCAAATTAGAGTTGGTATTGATCCATTGTTTTGATTTGTGTAAGTTAGTTTGGAGCCTGGGAGTTTATTTTATTATTGAGACAGTTTTAATCGGTTTTGATGACAGGATCGTGGATACGAACGTATTGTCTATACCAGTGCTCCGCAACCTTTCCTCATCTGAGGCACACCAAACTGCTCCCTAGAATTTCGTGGCACACCAAAATCTAAAATATATTTATAGCAGTGGCGTAGCTAGGTCGGGGGTCAGTTCACTCTATGTATACTAATTATTTATGGATGTCCAAACTACCTTAGTTTTTATATTGTTTTAAAATGTGAAGAAGCCCCTTTTAGATTTGGGGCATCAAAATTTTCACTCAGGACATAATACATATTTTTTTTTATTTTTTTTTATTATTCAGATAGAATGAAAAATACAAATAGGTACATACATGAGAACTATACTAAATACTAGGTAGGACAGGTAGGTATACTAAATTTACTTCTGTTGACACGTCAATAGTAATAAATATTTTGACATGATGATGACTGATTAATGTGATACCTGCGCTTGCTTCGTTGAACACAAAAGTTTTATATTCGGCTCAATTTTAGACAGCGCAACTCTCATTTCTTGGTCAAGATCTTTTAAGCATGACCGTTTATCATTTTTAATTAATACAAGCGTTGAAAAACTTTGCTCACATAAATATGTTGTGGAAAACGGAAGTAGTGTGAAGATGGCCTTGTCGGTGATGCGTGGATATTCTGTCTTGATGGAAATCCAGAAAACATCTAACGGAACTTCGTCGAATTTAAGTTTTAGGGTCATATCATTACTTAATTCTGTGAACTCCTCTCGAGTTTGCAATGGCAGTGCTTCCGTGGAACTTATTGCATTGGTTGCGAAAGGATTTCGAATCCAACTGTATTGTTCCGTGTTGATAGAATGGAAATAGTATTCAAATTTTTGTTGAAGCATACTTAAATGTTGTTGGGCCAAATCCACAATCAACTGCTTGTTTTCGATCGTACTGTGGTTGGTCCTGTGATACATTTCTAGACATCCTTTTTGCAACTGTTCCTGCCAAAGTTCAAGTTTCTTTTTGAACCCTTGTAATTTATCGGAGCACGTCAATATATTTTCATTCCGTCCTTGCATTTTTTTATTAAGTTCATTCAGATGTTCGAATATATCCGCCATGTATGCAAGTTTGGCTATCCAGTATTCATCATGAAGGTGCTGGCATAGATCGTACATATCTTGACTTGAAAGAAACTCACGCACTTCGTAGCGAAGTTCAAACAGTCGAGCTAAAACTTTTCCCCGGGATAACCAACGAACTTCTGTATAAAACAGTAAGGATTCATGTTCGCTTCCCATTTCTTCACAGAGTATTCCAAAGATTCGCGAATTTAAGGCTCTCGATTTAATTATGTTTATGATCTTAATACATTCATTCATTGTGATCGAAAGCTGTTCGGGCAAATTTTTGACCATCAATGCTTCTCGATGTATGCAGCAATGTGTAATTTGTATTGACGGATTTTTTTGTTTTACACAAGATACAAAACCTTTCTTACTGCCCATCATTGCAGCAGCACCATCTGTACAAATAGCAACGCAATTGGTCCACTGAATATTATGTATTTTAAAAAAATTATCAGTTACTTGGAAAATTTGTTCACCGGTAGTTCTCTCTGGAACCTCCTTACAAAATAAATAATGTTCTTTAATAGAGTCCTCGTCAACGAAACGTGCAATAGCCATCAGTTGTGCTTTATTTTTAATATCGGTTGATTCGTCGATTTGAAGCGCAAAAATTCCAGCCGAAATGATTTTTTTAATTAGTGTTCCCAAAATATCACTTGACATATCTTGGATACGTCTTTTAACAGTATCGGCCGACAAAGAAACTTTACTCACGTCCTTAACTTCGTTTGGCCCAAGCATAAGTCTAACAATTTCCATGCATGCTGGTTTAATAAGCGTTTCATCGATAGTGTGCGGTTTTTTTTGTTGTGCAATTAATTTTGCAACAAGGTAGCTTGCTTCTAATGCCTTTTCAGAAACCGTAACCGCCGATTTCATAAACTGCTTTTGTTTCTTATTTTGATCCAAGCGCCGTTGGAAAAATTGAATGTCTTTTTTGACGCAACTGGGATGATTTGTGATCAAATGACGGTTTAGTTTGCTGGGTACCATTGCTTCATTTGACAACTGTTCACCGCAAATGACGCATTCAGGCTTTGGAGCCGCTTCGTCGCCACACCAAGTGAAACCATATCGAAGGTAGTCTTGATTGTACTTCCTTTTCAGCACCTTTTTTGCTCTTTTTGCAGCACTTATGCTGGAGCTTGTGCTAGGTTCTTCGTCATCTGCTCGTGATTTCAGCAAAAATTTATCCATATTTGAAGCACTATAGTTATTTATAAAAGTAGATACTGCAACAAAACTTAGTCCAGTTCACTTATTTATAAGGCACAAGAATTTATTTATATAGCAATTCACTATTTATTTCACTCTACGATTTATTTGTTTGCCCGCGTATTTATCTGATTCACTTGACTATTCGACTCTCTCTGAGTCTCTGAGCGACGACAGGCGCGCTTATATAGGCAGTGGCGATGTTCAGGAAAACATCGAGTCGCGCCTCGAACGGCACGGATCTTTCTAGTTTAGTCGCCTTCGAGAATCAAGCCGCCGCGCCGCGCCGATAGACGGATAGACGTTTACCATCGGCGCTGTTGTCAGATTGCTTTATTTTTCGCGGGTCTCGCTACAATACGAATCTGATTCGTATTGTCTGCAAGAGCGGCACACCTCAAGTCGGCTTACGGCACACCAGTGTGCCGCGGCACACCGGTTGCGGAGCACTGGTCTATACAATCGGCGTTTTTGAAGAATGAGATTTAGGATGAAAATAGAGAGGGCTTTTTGTGATGTGTTGATGGAAGTAATTGGGGGTGAAGTGTCATTGACATGGGATATGGTAGTTTGAATTTCGGTTACCAGTGTGTCTATGTCCTGTAGGGGAATTGAGCTGGCGTTGCTCCGGAATATTTGCAGGGATAGTTCTCTAAAATAGTGGCCAATCTGCCTTTTTAAGTTTTTGAAAGGTGTATATTGTAGCTCTTGGTGAAGCGGGAAAAAATATAGATTTAGTAATATCAATGGAAGATGATCGGAAGTAATTGTCTCTCCAATCAAGCATCTATCATCTATCTGTCCAGTACCGGAATCTGTCAAATGGATGTGATAAATAATAGATGATCTTTGGTGAGATACAAAGGTTAGAAGTCAGTTTGAGGTTGTGAATATGGGGTAGATTATCAAACGAATGCCGTTTGAGTTAGAGTTATGATCTCCGAACATGTTATGTTTGGTGTTCAGATTTCCAAGTAAAAATTTGGGCTCATACTGCCATTTTTCCATTTACCGTTCTATCATTTTTGTTTATTTCGTTAATCATCAAAGCAAACATGCCTCTTATATTTCTTTTCATCTTTGTTTTTTACTAATTCTTCACTACCACTCTCTGCTACACTATTCACTTTTCGTTGTTCTTCATTTTTATTTCCCATTTCAGGCAGATCTTCTTCTTTTACTTCTTCTGTTTTTCTTATTCTTCTGTTCTTTTTCCCTTTGTTAGATTAATTTTCTGTTTTATTCAAAATTGCTTTAATTATGCAGGTGAGATGATAGATTTTAAAATAATTTGTTTAAAAATATGTGCAAAAATAAAAAAATCAGTATTGTTTGACAGGTTATCAAATTGACAGTTCAATTTTCTTTTAGCATTCTTTCATACCAACAATGTATTATCCTTTACTTCTTTTCTTACTTCCACCTTCATTTTTGTTTTCGCCTTCTGCTTTTGTAATTCTATTTGTTTCTTTGTCTAATACCTCTGGTAGATTTTCTTTCAGAATTCTTCTATACCGACAATTTTCTATCAACTACTTCTTTCTTTACTTTTAATATTTACATTTTGATAAGGAGTAAAAAAATTAAATTTAGATACCTTGAACATTAAGCTAAAGAAAAGGTACTCTACTTCATTGTCGATAAATTGAACCGTTTTCGAAAAAAAAAAAATAAAAGAACTAATGTTCTATCTGAATCCGAGAGACCTTCTACATTTTCCCGTGTATATAGTAATGTTACATCCACATATTAATCCTATACCCATTTGTACGCCACTGTTTAAAACATCCGAAGATGTTCTAAATGTTGCGGTTAATTTAAATGCTACAAACTAATACTAACAGGCTAATTAAACCTTATTCCTATTTAAAAATGCATACACATTACAGCAATACTTTTCTGTTTTTAAAATTTTAAAAATATGTTATTTTTTAGGTTAACTTTTTACAAGGTACATTCGAAGCCAAGTACAGACATTGTGGCTTTTACCAAGCTAAATTCCTCGAATTAGACTTCCAAGGTGGGAATATTAGTATGACATTCGTTTTACCTGACAACAGAAATGGTCTACAGAAAATGGAAGATGATTTTGAAGGTGTATCAGAAGTTCATGCTATGAAAAGTGGCAATGTCGAAATATCAGTGCCGAAATTCAAACAAGAAACTGAAATTGATTTCGTTCCAGTGTTCAAAAAGGTAAGAACTATGATGGTTCTATGTATATTTTTTTAAACGTTATGAAAAACTTCTATTGACTCTAATTTGGTGGGTTTAAATATATGTTTTTAACCCTTTATAGTTGTTAAGGATTTGACCCCGTTTAGCCACAATTCCAATGCTTTTTAAACTAAATTACACATTAAACACACATTATCGATGTCAGTAAACAATAGATATTATTTTGTAGATGGGTATTCAAAAAATATTTACCAATGGAGCTGATTTATCAGGCGTATCTTCGAAACAAAACCTTAAAGTCGATGCTATCCCTCAAAAAACTTTTATTGACGTTACGGAGACAGGAGTAGAGGCTGCAGCAGCAACTGGTGGTGAGTATTTACTATTTTCTTCTACATTAAATGTATATTGTCTATTTTTTCATTAATTATAGAATGGTTAAATAGGATTTTGCTTTTTTCACAGTAATAAATAAGTTCTTTGACCCAAGTTGGTCATTTGACATATCAAACTATCAAATTAGTTCCTACATCTATATTGAGGGATATTTGAGTCAGATGAATAAAAGGAAGCAAATGCTTATACTTTAGTAGCGTTCTGTTTTGCATAAGTCCATTTGAACAATTTTAAGTAAAAGCATGTGCTTTTCGTTTATTCATTTGACCTATTGTCTTTGGGATTTCTGTTATTGATCTCACTGGGTATTTAAATTTTGTTTGACCAATTTGTCGTTGCATCGAAAAAATGTTTATTATCATGTGATTGTGTCGTTTTCTTCGAAAAATTGTTTGACAGTTTTCTAATTCTTTCCTGGATAGGCCGAATATTAGTTTTTTCGTAAAGATATTCATTCGCTGGATGGTGAGTGGTGTTTTCAGGATATCGCATCTTGGTAATGGTTCTTAGAGTAGAAGTTTCGGCCACTTGAATGTTTTTTAATGCAGGTTTTCGGCAGTTTAAATATATAGTGTGACCGTATTCCAGGAGAGGTCTGCAAATTGTTTTGTAGAGTTTAATAGCCGTATAGATGTTGATACCTTCTTTTTTTGTATGCTAACGAGCGGAAATGAGCTCTGGTTTTGATTTTGTTCTTTTGTCTGCGGGTGTGTTCATTGAAGTTCAGCTTATTATCAATAATAAGGCCTAGATATTTCACTGAGAATACGGGATGGGTTTTGGTAAATATGATGAGTGCAGGTGATGTCGGTCTTAGATCATGATAGGATATCATTAATTTACATTTTTGTGGGTTAACTTGTAATCTCCATTTATTGAGCCATTGAGCAACTTCGTTATATTGATTTTGTAGTGCTGTGATGGTTTGATTCAGCATATTTCTATTTGATATCAAGACCGTGTCATCTGCGTATTGGAGTGTGTAATTTACTGGGGGAATAAGAAAAAGTCCCAGGGGACCATATCGGGGCTATAGAGTGAGTTCGGCAACGTAGGAATGCCTTTTTTCTCCAAAAACTCTTACACAATGAACAAGGAATGGGCCGGCGCGTTGTCATGGTTCAAGATCTGGCCGTTCTCGGAGAGTTCTGGCCGCACACGAAAAATGCGTGCCCACAGTCACTCCATCACGCCAATATAGAACTGTTCATGCTTATGCGCCGGTTAGACGTGATCAGCGCGCGTAGACAGTCGGTATTCGCGTCGGTACGAGAGGTGAGGGGAGCTTCTACACGCAGCTCGTCATCTATCGATCCACACCCCTCTGTAAACCATTCCATCTATTCAAACACGCGCGTTTTTGACAATTACTTTTCTCTGTACACCACCTGCAATTTTCGGAGAATTTCCGATGGTTTTTGAATATCAACACGTTGCTTGTAATAGGATTCACTAATTTTCATGACGCCACTAAAGAAGTAACTCTCAAAAAACACAGATAAAACACAAACCCAACGTGGTGTCAACTTCAAACTTCGATTGTAACTAAGGGAAGGTCTCCTATTTACAGAAGTATGTTTAAAAACGATGCAGTTTTGACAGTTCCCGAGTTATAAATAAATTCCCGGGGAATTTATTTACCACACCTCGTATTAACTTCTTTTCTATCGTATAGTTCACTAAATATTTCTTCTGAAAGTAACTGTTTATATTAGTGTGGAAGATGGCTTATTAAAGAGAGTACTTGAAAATGATGATGGTTCCGAGAACAGAAGACAGTTGGTCATTCCAAGAAGTAGAGTAGCTGAAGTACTCCGTCAGTTACACGAGAGTCTATCAGGAGGACATCTCGGTGTTAGGAAAACCCTTCAGAGAGTTCGGGAAAGGTTTTACTGGATGAATAGTTCCGATGATGTAAAGGACTGGTGTAAGAAATGTACCACCTGTGCTATGAGTAATGAACCTCAACGAAAAAGGAAGGCTCCCATGAAGCAATACAACGTTGGTAGCCCATTTGAGAGGATCGCCTTAGATAATGCTAGACCATTCCCCATGACCAAGAATGGTAATAAATACATGGTGGTGGTTATGGATTATTTCACGAAGTCTACGCCATTCCAAATCAAGAGGCCGCAACTGTTGCAGATGTGTTAATAAGAGAGTTTATCTGTCGATTTAGAGTACCCTTGGAGATCCACAGTGACCAAGGCAGAAATTTTAAAAGCCAACTCTTCCGTGGAATCTGTGACAGGCTAGGCATGAAGAAAACCAGAGCCACAACGTTGCACCCACAATCCGATGGAATGGTAAAGCGAATGAATAAGACCATTGGCAAATATCTTTTAAAAGTGGTTTCAAACTCTCAGCGAGATTGGGATCAGTATCTTTCGCTCTTTGCAATGGCTTATAGATCCGCTGTCAATGAACCAATAGGCCAAACACCAGCAAAGGTCTTGTTTGGGCGTGAGATGAGACAACCGTGCTACCTCGAGTTTGGATGCCAACCTAGAGAAGATGTAGCTGGTGAAGATTATGGGATCCAATTACGAAGAAGAATGGACGACATATATGAATTAGTTCGCTCGCATCTCCAAATCGCCAGCGACAGAATGAAGAAGCGATACGATACCCAAGCAACAGAAGGATGTTTCAAAGAAGGCGACAAAGTCTGGCTCCATAACCCAAAAAGACAAAAGGGTTATTCTCCGAAGCTTCAAAGGTCTTGGGAAGGTCCGTACCTCATCAAGAATAAAATAAATGATGTAGTTTACCGTATAAGCAAGATCCCAAACGGTAAACCGAAGATAATGCATCAGAACAGGCTGGCGCCATTTGAGGGTGACCATGAAGAAGAAATAAACCAATTTTAAGACACACCAGACCTTGTCTTTGAAGAATTTATGGGTGCATATGGAGGTACTGGAAAAGCCAGATATGGTGTTACGACCGAGCAACAACAAGATCTGCTCTCACTTCCAAAAGACTACTCGCTGGTCCATAGTACTTCCGCCAGCATCAACGACGCGCGAGGACTGGCATATGTGTTCCTTTAGAAGTTTGGACGACTGGTAGAACTACAATGTCAGTTACCAGCCCCTGGAGAAGCCTTGAAACTTCAAGACGGGTCACGTTATCTTTTTTATTTAATAACAAAGAACACTTTCCAAGATCGATCCACCTATCAGGATGTATGGGAAGCATTACTTAGTCTAAGGGAGCACGTACAGGAGTCCAATGTACAGAAACTAGCCATGCCGAAGATAAAAGAAAATCAGCCGGATTGGAGGATCATTAGGAACATGGTGGAAGTAATCTTTCAAGATACCGGGGTCCAAATACTGGTCTGCAGCCATTCGCCCAGTGCCCAGGTTACAGCGAAGACAGTCCCTTGTTACTTCCATGCAACTGGAAATTGTAAAATAGGATTCAATTGCAGATACAACTATTCCAGTTTAGTTTCGTAAGAGTTCCAGGAGGAACTATCTCTTAAGGAGGGGGCAATGTTATGTGAGCCATTTCATTATTCAGACATGCTCTAATCCTCTCTGTCTTATTTGGCCTTTGAGGCTCAAATTGTCCGATTATTATACATAATTAAATCCTCTAAGACCAAACATATGTGACGACTATGGCGGAGGTGCTTTCGATGACTATTCGAGAAAGAACGAGATAATGATTCTAGTGTATTGGTGAAAATATGTGAACTTTCTAACACATTCGCCAATTTTTTAAATTTGTATATTAATATTGGTGGAGGACCATGCAGAGTTAGTTATTATGTGGACAGTGAAGATAAATAGGGAACAGTTTAAAGACATTCGAAATATATATAAATTAGAATAGTAGTGTTATAAAATAAATAAGTTATTGATAAATAAACTGTTGTTTAAAACTCTTTCAGTTGTGGTGAGAAATATATGGATCTCCCTGTATTTTTATTTCATGGAATATTATTATTATTTTGGTTTTGGATTTGCTTTGTATTTTTTTTATAAGAAACTACGGAATATCCCTCGTTATCTTTAACTGGTTCTTTGGAGGTGTCGCTCGATTCTTCCTTCTTATCTATAAGCTTTTTTTGGAGATTCCGATAAATTTGTCTAGTGATTCTTCATTCAAATGCTGTAAATTCGTAAGAAACTCGTATTTTCTTTCTGTTGACGTGGAAATATCTTGGTCTACATCCATAAATCCGGAGAGTTCTTCCCAATCACTTGAACTAGACATGTTTTTTTTATGGACTTTGGTAATAAACAGTAATCTTATCTTTTAATAAAAGAATTGTACTTTTTACTATACATATTTTTTACATTTTTTTTTTGTCACATCTAAAGTAGGTAGGTACTAAAACAAGTACTAAAAGATTTTTATATTTATGAAATTTCGTTTATTTTCTTTTTCAGTTCATGGTGTTCCAACATCTCTAATCAAACCTGACTTTATCTTTAACGCTGAATCTCCATTCTTATATTACATTAGAGAGAGAAATTCAGGTGCAGTTCTATTTGCTGGAAGATACGTAAACTAAATTCGTTAAGGACCAAGAAGAAACTGATGTATTTAATAATATTGACTACAATCTGCAATGTTTTAATTTTATGTGTTGAATAAAAATGATTGCAAATATGTTTTTTTTTATTTCTAGTGCAATAATAAATTATTGTGGTAAACCGTAGACATATATTTGGATTATTTTTTATATTTGGGAATTTAAGATGCATAAAATAAAATTTGAGAAACATAAATACAATGTTTTAATAAATGAACCTGGGTTTAATTTTACTGTACAATAGAATTTTAAATGTCCTTTTTTGTAAGAAAACTGAGTAAATTATCAAAATCGTGATTTAAATGGCATTTAGTTAAGCTATTTGGTGGTCGTAGTTAAAGCTAATTTATAAATAGGACATCTAAAATTTAAAATAGTGCACAACATTATAGGTGGGTCGACTATATGGAGTAGAAGTTGTGAATGGTGATGAGAGAGTCGTAAAATTTTTTTCCAGAAAGTTATATATAACAATTTTTAAATAAATGAACTGCCACAGCTGTTCAAATACCTTCATAAAAATCCAAAATAAATGCAACTAAAAGAAAAACAAATTATCAAAAATATTTAATATCCCAAAATAACGACGCCTTAACCTTTCTGGCCGATGAAACAATTTTCACCTTCTTTGGGACTGATTTGCCTTTTGCTATTGTAATCATAGCCCACTATAGTGCAAAGTATTCATACCATCTTCGTATGTGAGTAATGTGGTTTTAATAGAAATAGAAAAGGAAACGTCGTTTGAGTCTCATAATGTTACCTATCTATTAATGGTTATGTCACAGTGTTAATGTCACACCGTTAATGTCACACCGTTAATGTCACAACGTTAATGTCACGGGCAAAGACAAGCTGGCACATTACTAACTTATTTACAGAGTACGTCGCATAGCCCTCAGAAGGTCTAGATACCGCATCGTAAAAACATTTTGACCCCCCATATGATGGGCGTCATGATAAATAAATGTCAATAAATTTTAAGTTGGCACTTCTGACAAGACAGAATCGGTACAAGTTTAGTAATAAGCGTAAGATCGGCGTTCGACGTATATAATCGATTGTATTATCTGTTGTGTTGTTTATTTTGTTCTTCTAGTAAAGATTTTACTTAAAACATTATTTTTTAGTTTAGTCGTTTAGTGTTTTATTTTAATAAAAAACATTTGTGGTTTGGTGTTAAATTTTTACAGGATTTTCAAAATCTCTTGTTGTTTTGTACGTGTATGTAACAATGCATCCAACGGTAGAAGATACAAGGAAGGAATAACATTTCATGTGTAAGTTTTCAAAAATATTTGTATATTATCAAAATCAAATAATTTGTGTTTTGTTGTAGCATACCAAAAAAATTTAGGAAAGAATAACTGATAGCCATAGGAAGACCATTGAATCATTTTGTGACTTTAGTATAAGCCCAGAAAATTTGGGGATACTAGCTGAAACGGCAAATGTGTTATTGGCTCCTTGTTAGTGACCTATTGTACAATTTTTCCAACACACGTTCCATGATCCTTTGAACTTGGCTGCACCGTACTGATGAAGACCAATAGTCAGAAAAACATGTCGACCGTTACTTCTTTTTTACTTTTTTTTATTCGGAAAATGTCCACTATTACTACCTTGATATAATAATATTAGTTTCGTTCTAAGTAGGTACATACTATAGTTTGTATGTTTTATGCTTTATTTTATTATATGTAATAAATGTTAGGAAATATACTTTTATAGTAAATAAATTGATTAAAGCAATATGTAAGAATAAGTTTATCTAAGGATTGTTAAAGCAATTTTTCATATCCATTGTTTATTGATTTGTTTCATTTAATTCTTTCTTATTGAGTAAGTTATTTCATATAAATATGCGATACTTGTAAAATGTAATATTTTCTTTTAAATAGTTATATATTATGTTTGTATAAAATATTGTTCATTTAATAAAAACAGAAATATTTTGTCTTTTATTCAAAAGAAGATTGTAAATTTTTCAAAATATATTTACCTACCCCAAAAAAAGATTAATAAAACCATTCATATATACATTTTCTATATATTTATAGAGGTGCTTTTTAAAAAACTTTCAATACATTCGAAATCTGTGGTTTTATTAAACTCAATGTAATAAATAATAATAGGTATTCTCAAAAATATTTAAAAATAAAATCGAGATGGGACTCTTGTATAATTTAGTGACTATTCGCCTATGGTTAGTGCACTGCTGTGTGTCCCTGGGTTTTCTACATTAGAACAATACTGCTTCTCCACTCTAGCAGTATTTTTTGCATCTCACAAGATTATATTTATTAAAAAACCAAGGAATTGTTTCGGGCCTATTGCTGTGCCCTTTTCCAACATTCCCAAAGTTTTTTTTTTACTTTCTGCTGATTGGATCTCCGATAGCGACAACTCCATTTATTGTTCCACTAGTTTTTTATCAAATTTTTAAAATAACTTCTATATATTTATCTTTTGCAACGACTTTGCTTACCTGCTTCATAATCTCTTCCCTATGCCCCAATTTATCTAACAGGTGAGATCTTATACTCGCTTTATTAAATCAAATTATCATTATAGTTTATTTGAAAATGGTTGGTAGCACAGTTTTTATGGCAAAGGTCTATATTTTTATATAATTTTGCTATTATTAATTTTCAAATAAACTATAGGAATAGGAGTAATCTATTAGTTTTTCTAAAAATACCTTGTTAAGTAAGTATATCTTTCCCTAGTTAAAAAATTCGAGTTTTTATTTTCATAATATAAATAAATGACCGGTTAACAATCACATTCTTTTAAATAGTACATTTGACATCGAAGTAGGTATTTTCTCCATATTGCCAAACAGGAACAGATAATTTACTTGTAATTTGAATTATATTACATAAATCTCACTGAATTTCTCTATAATTCTCATAGCAATATGTACACAAAACACTTATCCAATAATATATATAACCATGTAAAAATAACATTTCAAGAACGAGAAAATTTATAAAACCGGTCCTGGCTGAACAGATCTAGGAAAATCAAATAGGTTTGTCAAAGTTTTGTTCTTAATTTGAAATTAGAAATTGTGCGTCTCACTCACTTATAACTAATAACAAAGTGCAGATTATCGGTGTTCACGTATTACAGAACACACAAACTAAAAATCAGTGTAGCCAAAACATGAATTTACCTAACATGGCGACAAGCTTGAATGGGGTCATTTTTTTGTATTGACAGCATAAGCCAAGCGGTATCTAGACTTTCTGAGGGCTATGGTACGTCGGCTGTACCTAAACAAATGACTCAAGATGTTCTACATCAAAGACAGCATTGAAAGATACTGACAACAGAAAATCACTTGAGAAAATAGGGGATCAACAAATGAACGATATACTTGAACTGATACTTGCAACTGACAGTGATAGCCCTCCGTCGCCAAATAAGAGCACTATTGATACTAACGTGACACCTACAGAAAGCGTTTAACAACTTTTAGGTAATGATACTACCAGACGTAAAAATAATCTTTTTGGTAAGGCAAGGTCCATCTAAATCATTGTATGATTATAGATTTCCATACGATGAGACTGGTAGAAAATTTAGCCCTAATTATTATAAAAGAATTTTAAGTAATGGAGAGCAAATTTTAAGAGACTGGCTAATTCCGTCTCAAAAAATTGCGTTATATTGCTAGTGTTGCAAAGTTTTTGGCTGTGTACTTAGTTCCCTTTCAAAGGAGGGGTTTAAAAGTTGGAAGCATCTGAATCAAACTCTAAACCTGATATTTGTAAAATGGAGCAAATGAATCTTGTAATCAGGTATGTTTTAATTAATAAAACTGATTCCAATCAGGATGATGTTAAAATTAAAGTTAATGAAAGCTTTCTGGCTTTTCTTCTAGTTGAAAGGTCTACAGAGAAGCAAATGTGTGAAATTATAATTGCAGAACTTAATAATTTGGGTTTAAATTTACAGGATATAAGAGGGCAAAGATAAGATAACGGGTTTAATATGCGAGTCGATAAATCAGTAGTGCAAATATCGTCCGTTAGTTCATAAATTAGTTGGCGCTGCTGTCACGCACAGAGCGAATAATGAATGAAAATATGCTGACTGCGCTTTGCATGATGAACGTACATAGAAAAATAATCGCAAAAAACTAAAAAGAAATCATGTTTTCTGTTATCGATTATTTTAGGTAGAGGAAGAAGAAATTAAAAATTTACGTTTTCCTAGTGTTCGTCGACGTGTTTGAGTGAGTTTTTTTGTTTTTATGTTTCTATAAATATTTTTTTTATATATTATGTATGGCTCTGTCTCCTTGTTCATATTTTTCTTTTATCTCACACCTTCTATTTGTTTTTTAAAAATATGTTTTTAAGTTTCTTGTTTTTTTTTATTTTAGTTTTGTCTTTTTTGTTGGGTTATTTTATTTATTAAAAAATTTTGTTAATTTGTATTGCTCTTTTATTTTTCATTTTCTCTGTTTTTTAACTAATAAACATTCTAATTTTTTTCAAAATTTCCCCCCCCCCCCCCCCCTATAGAATTGTGTAACGACGCCCATGTATACAGGTGGGGCGAGAGTACTGAATCCTGGCGTTGATTTTAATGTGAAAATTTATGAATTGTTTTTACAGTGAAGACGGGGTAGTCATTTATGAACATTTTGTAGATTTAACCGTTAGTCTAAACCGAGTTAAAGGCTTTGGCAGCATCTAAAGCCACCTGAATAATCTGTTGCTTGTTGTTGTAAGCTTTTTTGACATGGTGTGCTATTCTGATGACTTGAGCTACTGTGCTGTGGCCAGCCCTGAACCCGTATTGCTCTGACGGTATAATCGGGTGGTCAGTTTCGTGTGTTTGTGTGTATCATAGAAATAGTATAGAAAGCCGATTCCATATATTAAAAATGAAACCATAAGGAGAAAATAGTGTGTCGGAGCTCATGCGTATAACGGTGCTGGCGCGAACAGGACCGGTGCAAGTTTTTTATTGATCGAACAAATAGTTCGCACGATATTTCAATCATACATTTTTAGAGATGATTCTATACAAAAAACGATTAAAAAAATTTCAAGTTAAGGTAAATATGGTTCTGACAGTCCTTATT